TCGTCCAGGCCTCTGCTGAACGCGCAGCGGCCGCCGAGCTTCCGCGCGCCGCTGACGGCAGCGACGCCGCAGAGGACGAACCTGTACCAGATGCCAGCAGTTCTGCCCTTGGTGCTCCGAGCCCTTGGACTTCGGCTGTCGCGCAGCTGTACTCTGACGCAGCGCCTTGCGAATTGACTTCGCTGCTGCTCCAGCCGCGTGTCCTGACCCAGCAGGCCAGAAGGCCTGCAATATTTTCAGGCGCGGGCCGCGCGTCGCGCGGGTGCACGTGTGCGCGGCTGGCTGCCGCCGCCTGCCCACTCACAGGTACTGGTGCCAGACTCACAATCGATTTTTTCAGCCACCAAGCGGCTCCGATTCAAGAGGTTGCACCGTCGTTGGCGACGTCGTTGGCGATTACTTGATTGCCGGCGATTTCTGGTCCGAGGCGTTGGGCGCGTTCCAGGGCACGGAGAACTACAGGCACGTCGAGAAGCTGGTGCGCAGGCGGACCACGACACTCATCATGAAAGCCGTGGCCGACCACCCTCGTCGCGCAAACCTCAGCGAACTCGAGGCGGCGCGCCTCCACGCGGCCCTCTGCGGATTCGCGCGCGCGACGCCAGGCTACCAGACGATCAGATGGTGGTTCACGATTTGGGTTGAGATGTACCTGGGCCCGATGGTGCCGCGGCTCGCCGTCGCGGTCTGCGCCTCTCACGGGGCCATGGGGGACCTGGACTTCTCCGCGAGCGATGCCAGGCAGCTCCGTGCCATCGGGTCCAAAGTCCGAGACAAGAAGGAACGCCGCACTTTCGGCGGAATGACCGGCTTGTCCGACGTGCCACTCCTCCCGGACCTCTACGCCACCGCCGAGGACAGGTCAAACATTGAGACCGTGGTGCTTGCGTGGATGCGCTTGCTTCAGACCCAGGGCCCCCGGCCTGTCGGCGCCAACGCGGACAACATTGCGAAGGAGTTCAAGACGATCGTGGGCTGCTTGGGCGCCGCCTTCCCCGGGGCCGCGCGGTGCGACAAGCCGGCCTTGAAGCGTTCGCAGCAGCGCGCGGAGAGCGGCGGCATTGTCGTGGACTTGGACGCGCGCAGAGTCTTGGGGTTTGAGCTTGGGCAGGACGCGCTGCACGTGTAAAAACGCCTCCTCAAGGCGGTCAACACGACCTCGGTCGATGCTGCGTGGTCGATCCGCTGCTGGCGCAAATGACTGGGCTCCCTCAACCCCGAGGTGCGCTTTGGCCGCTCGAACGCGGAGCCGATCTTCGGCGGCGCAGACAACCGACTCGCGGCGCGCGCAGAGGTTCAGGGCGCCGCGCCGCTGGATGTGCCCCAGGTCCTGCAGCTGTGACTACTTTCAGGGAACCGCGCTGCCGGCCGTGTCGTTCGAGGTCCTCAAGGAAAGCGTGGCAGACGAGTGGCGTCACCCTGTCCATGGGGAACCGCTGCCCTTGCCGGCGAAGGTGGCGATATTGGAGGACGCGGCGCGCGTCGAGGATGCGTCCAGGGGGGCGCGCCAGGCGGCCGCCTCGGCTGCTTTCGAGTTCGTCTACGGCCCGCTCGGACATCCAACCGCGGGGGACATCGCCCGGAACCTCTGCGGCCTGGGCGAGCTGTTCGCCCTTCCCAACTTCGCCAAGGCCCGCGGCGAGGCGCCTCCGGAGTGGTGCCAGGCCCAGGCCCGCTACCTGCGGCACGCTCGCAGTAGGCCCAGCGGGCCTATGCGGCGCACGTGCAAGCCGCGAGACGTGCCGGCTGGCGCGCCCGCGCCCAGCCAGCCAGCGGACGATCGCCAGGCATGTTCGGATGAGGAGGGCGCGTCCGCCAAGGGGGTGGACGCCGACGCGTCCGCGGCCAGCGACGCCGCGGGCGACAGCGAGTTCCCCGAGGAGAGCGGCGACGATAACGGCAGCGACGACAGCGACGCCGCCGCCGAGGCCGAGGAAGACAGCGACGACGAGAGGGCGAAGCAGCAGGCCCCGCCGAACCCGTGCTCGGCGTCGATGCCCTGGCGGGAGAATCGCGCAAGAGGTACGCGGCCGGTAGCAGGTTCGACCGCGTCCTCGTGAACCAGCTCCGCCCCGTGGTCCTGCATGGGTTGTGCGCTGGATACCGCTGCAAGCTCTGGGCCATGGAGGCGGGGCGGGACGTCTCGCTCGGCACCGTGGGCAAGGAGCGGGGCTGGCGGAACAGACAGCGCCATGCCCGAAATAAGGGGCGCTCACGAGCGGACGTGGCCACGGTGCATTTGCTGGCGCTCCTGCGTTTCGCCCGCGAGGTGGCGGCCCGCACGGCCTCGGGGCGACGGCGCGAACAGCTGCTCAAATGCAGCCGGCCCGACCGCGCGCACGATGAGTTCCTGGCGGCGGAGGAGCTCGCCGCGGCGATCCTGGAGGGCGCGGCGGCCGGGGCGCCGCTGGCTCGCGCCGCTGGGAGCTGCGCCGATGCGCTGGCGGAGCCGCGTGATATAGGGCATCTCTACTCCTTGTTTCAGGATGGCAAGCTGTAGCCGCGCGACCGACCGTGAGCTTGCCACGCGCTGTGAAAATGGCGCGGGCTGGGGCGCGCCCCGGCGGACAGGGCATTCAAGTCTGTTGTGGTGCATTACAGCCTGCCTGGCGCGCAAACACCAAGGGGTAGCCCGAGGGGTGTGCCCTGGGGCAGGCTAGGGATAGCCTCAGGGGTTGGCTTTAGGGATAGACCCGGGGTAGCCTTATGGGTAGGCCCTGGGGGCAGGCTTAGGGTAGGCCTAGGGGCGGGCCCTATGGGTAAGCCTAAGGCAGCCCCAGGGGGTAGCGCCAAGGGGTAGGCCCTAGGGGCACGCCTAGGATATCCCCTGTGGTAGACCCTGCGGGTAAGCATAAAGTAGCCCCAGGGCCCGGCCTCAGGGGCTGGCTTGGTGTAGCCCGAGGGGTACGCCTTAGAAGTCAGCCTAAGGTAACCCTGGGGTTTGGCCCTAGGGGTAGGCCTAGAGTAGGCCTACCTATGGCGATCTACAGGTGATATTTGCGCCCGCGTCGCCCCCGCCCCCGCGCGCCCGCCCCCCCCCCTCCCCCCCCCCCCCCCCCCTCCGAAGTCTCATTCTTTCTGCGCGCGCGATCGGCGGCGCATCGTCGCCAATCGCCCCCGCTGCGCCGAGGGCTCGGACGCCGCGGCGCTTTGCCCATCCATTTGGACGCCCCGCCCCGCGTTCGCCCCATTCGGCCCGCGTCGCGACCCAATGGCCGCCGTCGACCAGGAGGCTCTTGCGGAGGAGGCGTTCCGCCTTGAGGAGGAGGCGGAAGCGGCCGCGGGCGAGGCCGAAGAGTTCGCAGGCGCCGCCGAGGGCGAGGGCGCGCCCGACGCGGCCGGCGAGGGCCAAGTCGTTCCGGCGACAGATGACGACGACGAGGTCCTGGGTTCTCAGATGAGCGCCGAGGTTTTCTACCAACGTGCGGCGGAGTTGGGCGAGCATTCCTTGGCGGACTACGACGCCCTGGTGGCGGCCATCAAGGATCAGCCAGACCCCTCGCCATCGGCGCTTGGGAGAGGTTTCAGCAGTTGGGATTCCGAGTCTGGCGGGACGTCACGGGCGAGGCGGTCGACGTCAAAGATTTGGCGGTGAGCGTCGAGGGCGCGGGCCCGAAGACGCGGGGGGCCTTCTTCGACAAATGGCCCACCTACCTCTGGGACGTGAAGGCCATCTACGCCGCCACGGACCTCGCGTCGAAGCCCAAGGAGATGGGCCTTCGCGCCTCTGTGGCGCAGACGACCGAGGCGTTCTACAACGAGCTCTTGGAGGGCACGGCTGTCCGCGCCCCGAAGGAGGCCCAGGGCTCTGTGCCGCTGCGGGCAATGGCCCTGGCGGAAGTGGCGGACGCTTGCCAGCGCGCGGCAGTTGGCTTCGGCTTGCCCCCCGACGGCCACGTCGTGCACCAGGCCTTCCAGGGCCAGGCCGCTTATTATTAGCAGGGCGCTGGCAGCTCCCTGCAAATCCCCGCCCTCAAGGAGAGCGAATCCGAATGGAACGTTGGCAACGCAAGGCTTCCGTTCATCGCCGAGGGCAAGGTCTCCTCTGGCAGAGATAACCTGGTTGCCATATTCCTGCAGTGGGTCGGCGCTCTTCAGGTTGAGCGCCTGGATGCCACGAGCACCGCGCGCTCGGGCAAGATCACCGCGAACGGCATTTTGACCCACTTGAAGGCCCGCGGGAACCAGGTTCAGGTCATCAATGCCGAGCTCGAGAAGGTCCTCAATCGCACCTACAAAGACAAGATGCAGGAGGGGGGCGTCATCGAGCTCCTCGACGACTCCGAGGCTTTCGGCCGGCGCACCGGCATGGGCGCCTCGTGCGTCAAGCCGGTCGCCTGGATGTGCTTGGCCACTCAGAAGAAGGTTTACGCCCGGGAGATGGGGGGCGAGAGCTGCGGCAGGCTTCGCTTCGTCGTCCTGCATCTAGACCCCGACCAGGTCCGCAAGCTGCCGTTCGAGAAACGCCTCGTGCCTCGGAACAAGAGCCAGGAGGTCCTCGTGGAGGCGCTGCGCGAGATCCTGCTCGCCCAGCAGCGGGCGCCAGACCGCGAACTGGAGGATTTCGCCAAGACCTACCCCCAGGGGCTCCACGACGCCGATCTCCGCGTGCTCTGGGACGGCTTCCTCGCATCCCGCTTCGCGCCGCTGGCGAAGTATTTGCGCGGCCTGGCCTCGGGGCCCGCTTCCTTTCCTCGCGGCGGGGGGGGGATTGGCTTGCGTGGCCGACGCGCCCGCGGCCGAGGCACCCGCGCCCGCGGCGCCGCTCGCCGGCGCTGTCGGCGCCAGGGCCAGGCGCGCACGGGATCCTTCGACGTCGGGGCGCCCCGAGCCTCCCAAGAAGATCAGGCTCCGCGGAGCCATGAGGGGCGACGCCGAGGACGCGGCCGAGGCGGTGCCCAAGCGCTTGCCGGAGCTGTCCGTGCGGGCCATGCAGTTCAGCCCGGCAGGCGCCATGATCATGGCGGGCGCGCAGGACGGCACCAATGCCGCGTGCGCCAAGAGCAACAACCCAGAGTGCGCGAGCGTCGTCACGAAGCACGCTGGAAAGGCGTTCGGGGCGTGCGCTGCTGCCAACGCGGCGGTGCGCAACGGTCTGGCGCGATGGGCTTTCGGGCGGTCCTTCCCCCTGGACCACGTGATCCGCCTCTTCGATTGCCTGGCGGCCATGCCCAAGATCGAGCTCTTCTCGCTGAGTCAGATGGGCCTGGAGGCCGCCATTCAGCGGGCGCAGAAGACCAAGCCTTCGGACCAGCAGGACAAGGCCCCACCCGCCCCTTTGTACGACTTCGACACTCTGAAGCTCGAGAACATAGACAAGGCCGGGAGGCGCTTTCTCGAGGGCATGGACGTGCCCGGACGACACGGTCGTCGCCGGGAGCGGCCAGCAGAAGCGGCGGATTCTGCTCAACGCAGTCGGCGTTGCCGACCTGCTCCTGAACATGGGCAACCGCGGGGAGCTCAAGAAGGTGAAGGGGTACTGCGCGCAGGTCCTTGGCGGCACCCGGGAGGCGCCCTTGCGCCGAAGTGGCAGCGCTGGCATTTTGCCCTCGTGCTGGACCTCGTGCGCGCCGCCTCCGCTAACCTCACTGTGCCGAAGGATGCGCGCCCATGAGAGCGATGGAAAAAAAGAAGGAGGAGGAGGAGGAGGGGGAGGGGGAGGAGGACAAGCTAGGTGCGCTCGCATCATATCTGACGTCCTACCCCTCCCTCCCATCCCTTACCATGGCGCTGATTCTCTCTATCCGCGGACGCGTGTCGTAGCGGACCTGTGGCTCCGCGCGCGCGTGCGTAATTAGTGGGTGGTGGTGCGCGTGCGTGCGGGCGTGCGTGCGTGCGTGTGTGCGTGGTTGTGGTGGTGGTGGTGGTGGTGTGTGGTGCTGGTGGTGGTGGGTGGTGGTGCTGGTGGTTGTGGTGGTGGTGGTGGTGGTGCGTGGTGCGGCGCGGTGGTGGCGGGCGGATGGGCGCGCGAGAAAGAGGCCCGCGCTGGGGCGAGAACGCCATCCTGAACGACGGAGGCCAAACACCGATCCGAAAATGAGGCCCACGCTGCAGCGGGAGCACGATTCGGAACGATTCGGGAGCAGAAATGAGGCCGGCGCCTGAGCGAGAGCAGAATTTTGAAAAAAACGCCGGCGAAAACCCAACTCCCGTGAATCCTGTGTGTAAAAAACAGTGCGCGGGGGGGGTTTTACTACTCCCAGCACGCCATCAGGGGAAGAGGGAGAGTAGTATTCATATTGAGTAATTGTGGAGGAGGAGGAGGAGGAGGAGGAGGAGGAATGAGCGGAGGAGGTAGCGAAGAACTGAGGAGGGGGAGGAGAAGGAGGAGGAGGAGGAGGAGGAGAACGACGAGGAGGAGGACGACGACTACGACAACAGCGGGCTCGGCAGGGCTCGGCAGGGCGGGGTCGCAGAGGCTGCCGCCGGCACCCCTCGCGCCGCCACCGCCGCCGTCGCCGCCGCCGCCGCCGCCGCCGCCGCCACCGCCGCCCCAGCTTCCTCAGCTTTCTCAGCTTTCTCCAGCTCCTCCTCCTCCTCTTCCTCCTCCTCCTCCTCCTCCTCTCGTCCAGCTGTCTCCTCCGCCTCCTCCTCAAGCTTTCTCCAGTTTTCTCGTCCTCAGGAGGAGGAGGAGGAGGAGGAGGAGGAGGAGGAGGAGGAGGAGGAGGAGAACGGCGACGACGAACGACGACGACGACGACGACGACGACGACGACGACGACGACGACGACGACGACGAGGACGAGGACGAGGACGAGGACGACAGCGGGCTCGGCAGGGCGAGGCTTTCCAGGTCCCCCAGGTCCTCCTCCAGGTCCTCCCCCAAGCCGACAGGTCCCCCAGGTCCTCCTCCAACTTTCTCCAGGTTGCTTCGCCTCCTCCCCCTCCTCCAGCTTTCTCCAGCTTTCTTCTCCTCCTCCTCCTCTTCCTCCTCTTCCTCCTCCTCCTCAAACTTCTTCAGCTTTCTCCAGCTTTCCCCTTCTCCAGCATTCTCCTCCTCCTCTTCCTCTTCCTCCTCGTCCATCCTACCTCCTCGTCCTCCTCCCTCATCGTCTTCCCTCCTCCCTCCTCCGCCTCCCTCTCTCCGGGCGTCGGTCCTCAATCGATCTTCGATGCTCGATCGATCCTGGCGATCCTCGATCCCCGATCGAAGCTCGACCCTCGGTCCTCGAACGAGCCTGGATCCTCGATCCTCGATCCAGTTTCGATCCTCGATTCTCGATCGAACTCTGATCTTCGATCGGAGCTAGCGAAAGTCAATCCTCGATCATCGATATGCGATCCGCGATCCTCGATCGAACCTGGATCTTCGATCGATCAATGATCCTCGATCTTCGATGGAACCTCCTACCTCGAGTGCTCGGCAGTTCTCGATCCAGTATCCTCGACCCTGGATCGTCGATCCTCGATCCGATGTCCACCCTCCATCCTCGATCTTTGATGTTCGATCCTCAATCGAGCCTCCATCCTCGATCGATCCTCAATCAAACCTTGATCCTC